GTTATAGTATTCCTTAGTTAGGGTTAAAGATAAGTTACATATAAGACTTTAGAATCTCAAAGATAGAATAGATGATATTTTCTTCAATTCTTAATAATGTTAATGAACTAAATATTGTAATTATAGCTCTTGCTTAATAATTGTTTTGTTATATGTAATCTTACTATGTTAAAGTTAAAGCCCTTCTTTGTATTTAGACAGAAAAGAGGAGATGACAGAGAATGTTCTTCTGTATATGTTTGTCTTATTGGTTGATGAATAAAACACTGATTGGCCAGACAGGAAGTGACGTAGTATGGCTACTTCCACTAGCTAACTACAGAGTTTGGAGGTCTGTACAGACAGGCAGGAAGTGACGTAGCTGGGCAGAATCAGAATATAAACAGAGACAAACAGGAAATCTCCCTTCTCTGTAGAGGTGTAGTAGGCAAAGGAGATGCAGGTCCGGCATTCCCGGTAAGCCAAGACCACGTGGAAATACTTAGATTGATAGAAATGAGTTAATAATTAAGACAGAGCTAGCCAATAAGAAACGCTAGGAACAGGCCAACGGCTTTATATCTAATACAGTGTCTCTGTGTGTTATTTGGGGGTGATGTAGCTCTGGGACCAGGCTGGCGGGAAAGTGCTCGTAACAGTCTTTCACCGCCAAGCCCTCTGTGTTCAATGGTATCACCACTACACACCACCACACATGCTGCCTGGGTACAGAAGAAGTGGGGGGGGGGGTAGAAGGAGACCAAGCGTGTGCCACACACACTCCTATCACACCTGGCTTGATGCAGTCCCTCAAAATAAGCATCTGAGGAAGGAGAGGACTGTTCAGCACTCCACTGGCAAAGCCTCTCTTACTGACTACAGCTGTGGCAACGTCCAGCTCACCTTCCCACCCGACTCTCTTTCCTCAGCCTTCATGAACCCCAGCCTCCACCCTTGTCCCCACTGCTCTCCCAGAAGCACTCCCCAACCCCTTGAAAAGGCACTATTCCCCTCCCGGCTCTGCCGGAGCCTGGCCAGAGGAGCCACACTCCAAGAGGATGGGAACCACGTAGCGTGTTAACTGGCAGTGTGATACTGCCCTTGCCTCCCACGAAAGCTCTCCTGCAGCAGTAGTTTGTTCTTAACTCTCCCCTTAACGATTGGGTTACTTTTAGAAATTAGAGCAAGAAACTTAACCTGAAACCACTCTTCACACTCACTGGGTGGGAACAATTTTCACCTGTTCATTGTGTCTTGCCCAACTGGCTTAAACTAACAGTATGGGAAACCTGTGGATACAGAAACAGAAATCAACCTCAACGTGACTGGGAAACGCTCCCTGCTGGCTAGCTTAAGCAGTGTCAGAAGGTGTAATGCAAGCTGCTTCATGATAAAAGATCTCAGTGGCCTGCCTTATCCAGTATTGGATCCTGCATGCTATAACACTGACCTGCCTGGCAAAATATGCCAATTGGTCAAATCGTGGTATGACAGCTCCAGGGCTAACCAACTGCTTTCGGATTTGCCATGAGGTCTGTTTCACAGTAGGGATGTCATACCTGGCAAACCTGGCTAATCTAAGTTGAGAGCAAGGGGAGCCAGTAGACAGAATGACACCTCATAGATTCATATCCACAAGAACAAGCTGCAACACTGACTACTGCTATTGACTGGCTGACAAGTTGGCTGGGTCAGGTTCCCCATCCCCCCTAAGCCCTCTGCTTCCAAAGCTGGGATTGCTACCAAAAGATTGCACAGGCTTTGGGCCAGAGTTTATCTGCTTTGTTCCAGCCCATGGTCTCACGATCAGCTCTAACAAATTCAGTTGTATTCCAAGTTGGAAGCTAATTAAAAGGAACCTTTTGGTTTTTTTTTTTCTTTCTATTTTCTGTTGGTATATGTGTGTGAGAAAGAGATGTATGCCTTTGGATGTGGGAGCATACATGCGTGCGTGCGTGCGTGCATGCGTGTGCCTGCGTGCGTGCGTGTGTAGGCCAGTGCTGACACTGCGTATTTCCCATAGTCATTCTCCACCTTATTTTTTGAGACAGGGTCTCTCACTGAACCCAACACTCACCAATTGGCTAGAATGACCACCTGGGATCTGCCTGCATCCCCATCCTCAGTGGGGAAAATAAATTTCAACAACTCTGTGGTGACTGGAAATCCTCATTCAGGTGTCCATGATTGCAAAGCATGCACTCCATCAACTGAGCCATCCCCAAAGTCCTTTTGGTTGGCTGAGACAAGGTTTCAGTGCGGAGCCCAGGCTGTCATGGAACTCTCACGGATGCTCCTGCTTTAGCCTCCCTATCCCTGGGATCCCAGTGTGAGGCTAGCCCTGCCAGAGGGGGCACAGTCAGTATGTGTGGAGTTCCTAGGAAGAGCAAGGATGAGGGATGAGGCAGTGAGTCTACTCTCCTTAGCTTATGTCCGGGAGAGAGCAGACTGCAGAAAATAAAGTCAGAACGCGAGAGCTGCTCATGAGGACAGAAACAGAGCTGAGGACTCCGTGATTTCTCAGCATCATGAAAAGCAATGACCTTTTTCTAGTACAAACGTGTAATTGTTAAGAATTCATATGACTTAGCCCAAACATACCGAGCAGTTACAATCGTCCGCGTGTGCAAGAACCACGGGTGCGAGTGCAGATGCGTGTATGCCACAACGTGCATGCGGCAGTCAGAGGACAATTTGGCGGAGTTGGTTTCTCCCCCCACCTTTATAAAGGGTCCCAGGGCTGGAGTCAGGGTTGCACGGCAAGTACTCCCCCTGCTGGCTCACCTCGCCTGAAGCTTACTTTTAAAAATTGAGTTCCAAGGGCTGGGAAGCCTCAGTCAGGACAATGTTTGCCACACAAGCTTGGGACCCTTGAGTTCAATTTCTATAAACCATGCAAAACACGCAGGCATGGTGATGTATGCTACCATGTGCTGGGGAGACAGGACAGAAGGACCCCTGGGGCTCACTGGCCCAGCCAGGCCAGCCTACTTGGTGAGTTCCAGGACAAGGAGAGAGACACTGTCTCTCAAACCAAATGGAAGTTTTCTATGGCCTCCAAATGCCACCCCAACTCCCTGGGGTAGATGTCCTAAGGGCAGGGCTTCAGATGACACTTCCATAGATAATAGGACAACAAAGAGTCACTCACTGAGCATCAAGGAAAGGGACAGGAACACCTGCATTTACTCTGAAACACTGTCTAAGGGAGACTCCATGACAAGAAGTGCTCTTCCTTCTCAGCTCTGGCTACCATAGGTTTTCATCTGACCCCTAAATCACCACCATGGAAGAAACCCACACTCTTTACACTTCACAGGCAATGTCTCCAAACTTAAAGCCCAAAGTTTTTGTTACTCTTGCTCTCTAAGCAAAGTGGTCCACAAACTGGCCAACCTAGACCCCTTCCCTGCAGTTAAATTTCTCCTTCTCAAACATGCCACAAAACCTGACCGGCGCTGTTGGTGACATCTGAAAGCTTGGGCTTAAGTTTTCAGTTTTGCAGAGCTAGGAATCCAGCTCACGACCTCAGATGTACTGGGCAGACACTATCCAGCACTGGGCAACAGCCAGCCAGCCCTTTGTAAACGACTACAGTTATGATGAGGTGGAGAGTAGAAAGGGTGACAACCTGTGGTCCAGGCCTCTTGCCACACACATTAGGAGACTGAAGAGGGACAATCTCTCTTTTGTAGTGACCTCCAGAGGATTTTCTATCACCCTTCTTGCCACCTTGGTATCCAATGGCAGAAGGTTCTCCTGTTGGCCCACTAAATCCTTCCACCCACTTGCGCTGCCTCCCCTTCTCCCAGGAAATCCCGATGGCTTCCATCTCCATCGGAATGCTTGCCTGCATCCCCAGAATGACTAACCTCTGCCATCATCTAGCTAGCCTCTCTCTTAGTTCTCCAGCCTCACCCCCTTTTACTCCCTCGTTCTCTGCATTCCCCTTCTTAATAAGCTATCTCTATTTCTATGTCTAAACGCATGCCTCTGCTGCAATCCTTTGACCTGAGACAGGATGCTTGGAACTGTATGCCCTCTGAACCCAACGCCCTGCTGAGGGCTTTCTAGCTGTTTCTCTAACCTTGGGCCTGACTTAAAAGGCCATCTCCTTTCTTCCTAGTGGGCGTCAGTATTTTCAGCTTGTCCACCCTGTTGGTTTTTTACCTCAAACTTCAATGAAATTGTCCTCGGTCTTCCTTCTGAGTCCGTTTTAGATTACTTTGTTAATGAGACTAAGAACTCAGAAGGGACATCAATTCCCACAATAACCACTACTCACGCCTGCTCTCTGCCAGAATGCTCCTTCCCTTGCTTGCAGGAATTGCTCAAACATTAATCTTCTCTCCACCGAACCCCCATCCCCCCCCACACACACAACAGTTAAAACTTCCAAAGCTTTACTTAAAAAAAAAAAAAAAAAAATCTGTAACTTAGTATGCCAACTATTAACCCACTATAAGCTCTACGGTTGCATCTGTCCGTTGCTGCGTGCCCATGGGCTAGAAGCTTGCACTCGCCAGGCCAAGTGTTTAAAAAAGCATTTGAGAAAAGTTATTCACTTAATGAGGGTTCGTTGGGCACCTCCCCCGTGTAAAACATTATCACACACACACACTGGCTCCTCGGCTTTTATAAAGCCCTGGGGAACACTGGACTGAAACCTACGGGCAATATGCACAGGTCAAAGAATGTACCAACGGTTGAGACGAAAAGGCTTGGCCAACCAACGGGTCGCCGTTGCGTGGCGCCTGGCACCCAGGGTTCTTTCCTCGATTCCCTTAAAGGTGCCGCGACACCCCCTTTCCAGGCTGAGACGGTACCAGACCAGAGATGCAACTTCCGGCTTCTTCCCAACCGGCCTGGTAGTATTACAGGCAGAGAACCATACTGACTTCCACCCTCCTGGAGCAGCACCCTACTCCACGCGACCTCGGCTCCCGCCCAGCTTCTGCCCAGCCGCCCGCACCCCGAGTCCACCCGCACCCCCCCGCCCAAAACCCCGAGGCGCTCCCCACCTGCTCCCGGCGTGCCCCGCGGCTCCTCCCCGCGCCTGCGCAATAAACCCCCATTGGGTCCGGGAGGGGCGTGGAGCGCCAGGCTAGGCTGGACACGCCCCCGAGGGCAGAGTCGACTTCTGATTGGCTGCAGGCGCTCGCCCGAGCTCTGTTGGAACGCACGGGCAGTGCTTTTAAGGGAGCTCGCTTCCTTGCGCGCCCTAGAGGACCGGTGTGCTCCGTGGCCGCACTTGCTCCCGCGCTTTCGAGATCCAGGCCTCCTCGCCAGAATGTCTCAGGTACTGCGCGTGCCCTGCGGGGCTGCGAAGATGCAGCGGGTTTGGGGCTATCAGTCTGCAGGAACCCCGCGAGGTGTCTTCCCTCGGATGCTAGGCTCTGGGATCCGAGTCCAGCTTCGTAGCCTGGGGAGCGGAACTTTCTCTCCCCCCCCCCCCGTGCAGATTTCTGAAAGTGCCACCCACGCCGGAACTGCTGGAGAGTTGCGGGTGGGCTGGACTCCTGGGTGAAGCCGGCACAGGGTCCTCGAAAGAAAGATGGAGCAATGAGGGGATGGAGGGCAGAGAAGATTGAATCCCGTTCTGGGAAGGACCCGAGTGGAACTGTGGGGACACTCGTGGAGGCCCTCCCTGGCTGGGGAGCCTGAAGGTCGGGGAAGGAATTAGTCTTGTGCCTGGCATGCCTCTGTACAGAAGAGATGCGACTGTGCGAGGTGGCCCAGAGGCCTTTTCCTTCCCCCCCAGTGCAGACCCCCGTCCGTCCGGACCGAGCCCTGTAGGGCGATCCCTGGCCCCTCCCACTTGCTTCTCCCTGGGCACTGGGACAGAGGTCAATGCTGAACTCCAGGCCCCAATAGGAAGGGACTAGATAGAGGGCTCCTGGCTCTGGATTCCACTGCACTCGCGTCCTGAACCCTGATCAACCGTTTTGATCACACCACGTTTTCCCTCACGGTCCCGTCAATCTCCGCTGATCAGAGGTCAGGGCTTCTCTGGAACCCCAGCGATTGCTGGATTTGGGCCAACGGTGGTCAGGCAGGGGGTAGGAAAACTTTCAAGGGCGTGTCCATTCACGGTGTACCAAATCACAGCGCTGTAACTGCATGAGTGAACAGGTGGGCCTTTTCCCATCTTGGTGAGAGGAGTTTGGGAGGAGTTCCTCTTTCCTGCCTTCCCATCCATCCCTGTTCCTCTCACTTAGGCTGAGTTTGACAAAGCTGCTGAGGAGGTGAAGCGTCTCAAGACTCAGCCAACTGACGAAGAGATGCTCTTCATCTACAGCCACTTCAAACAAGCCACCGTGGGTGACGTAAACACAGGTAGATATGCCCGACTTCTCAACGGCGCAGGCCAAGTTGGCTCGGCAGTCCGAGAGCCTCATTTGCCAACTGCCTGAGGCCCCAGGGTTCAAGCAGGGTATGGTGACAGATCACTGGTGTGGAGACTTTAAGCTGGAAGGTTTTTCGCCGGTAAAGACCATCTTCCTATATTCTTTGCCTGACCTTGGGAGCAGATTCAGTCTGGTTTTAGAAGGACTTTACTGATTATCTCAGCCTCTACTGTGAAGGAAGCAAAGGTCCCAGCAGAAAGCCTTTCCTTACTCTAAGGAAAGGCTCAGTAGTAGCTTTGTTGAGTCTCCTGTTCCCATCAGATGAGCAGGGTCATCGAGCACTTGGCAGCCACCCCAAGCCATAATAGATGAGCAGGGAAGCCTCTGGTATCCTGGGGCAGGATAGAAGTGATGCTGGCCAAAGTCCGAACCATTCAGATGACCCCTCCACCACCACTACCCCGCTCTGAACGTCTTGGTACAGACGTTTTTTGTACGGGCAGAGCACATGGAGGGTGGAGGCCAGAGAACAGCCTTGAGTACTATTTCCACCGGCACCATCCAAACACCTTTGGATGCTTTGCTTTTCATTTTTAGTTGAGACAGGATCTCCCCCTGGCTTGGGGCTTGACTAGGTTGGTGGGCCAGCAAGCCTCAGAGATCTAACTGTCTCTACCTCTCCAGCAATGGGATTATGAGCACAGACTGCACTGTGCAAACACACACACACACACACACACACACACACACACACACACACACACTGCCTTTTTTTTCCCACCGTGAATTCTAAGAATAGAACTCAGGTCCTTATACTTCAAGGTAAGCACTGTATTAGCTGACCTATCTCTCCAGCCCCTTGGCACAGATTTTGAAGACTATGCTGTAGATTACCTTGGCCTAAAATATTGTCTTTTCTGCTGCCTCAGGCGGTGGCTGTATACTGAGATAACAGCACAGTGCATTCTAGCAAGGACTCATGACAGCATAGAAGGAAATGTACCCCCTCAGCCACCCACCAAGTGTGGCTTCCAATTCCACTGGAGCTGGAGTGGCAGGCCAAGCAGGTCAGAGCAGAAGCAAGTGAGGAGGGAAGGAGGCTGGGATGCTTTGCTACCAGATAGTATTTTGGAAGAGCCTGGCCTCTAGCCAGGCCAGAGGTACTTGTTGGCATATGAACAGCAGGAGCCTGGCTTGTAATCTATCGCATCGTGATCTGGAAATTTGTCTGTTTTTCTGGCTGTACATGTGGCTACATAGGTTTTAGCTGAAAATGGTTAAACCTAAGCAATGCACAAAGCTCATCTGTAGCTGCATGAGTTGTGTCTCAAGGGCTCAGTTAGCTGCATGGGGCAAGAACCAGCGAAATGGCTATCAGGTAAAGGCTCTTGCTGCCGTGCCTGGCTGCCTAACGGGCCCATTCGATGAAAGAACTGACTCCCAAAATCATCCTCTGGCATCCACACCTGCCACACTGGCATGTACAATGTATCCTAATATACACATTAACTGAGTGTTGTGAATATACATTTCTGTCTAGGGAGAACGGACTGGCAGGGAGTCTTCCTGTACGGTTCCCAGGACTTTTCCCAGGACTCAGTTCCCAAGCCATGCTCTGCAGTTTCTGCTCTTAGCATTGGAAGCAGGAAGGACTGTGGGAGAACTTCTCTCCCAAGCGCAGATGCTCCGGAAGGAGCCTAGTCTTCAATTAAAAATAAAAAACCTACAGATCAACAAGGAGCCCAGTCATGTGGTGGGAAATGGGGCCAGGTTATAAAGACAAGTCACGGGCAAGGACACCAGAACCCTGATGACAGTAACACAACAGAGAGAAACCAGGCCGCTGAGAAAGGATGTGAGGGGAACCTAACAGTATTTCTTTTCAGAATTGTCTTTGGGGTTTGTTGTTGTTTTAATGTTACGTGCATTGGTGTGTTACCTGCATGTCTGTTGGTCTGTCTGTGAGGGTGTCAGATCCCCTGGAACTGGAGTTACAGACAGCTGTGAGCCGCCATGTAGGTGCTGGGAATTGAACCTGGGTCCTCTGCCAAACCATCTCCAGCATCTTTTTTTTTTTTTTTTTTTTTTTTTTTTATTTATTTATTTTGGTCAGAGTTTTTAGATTCTGAACCATGTGAGTGAATGTTTGTTTCATTTGATTAAAGTACAGGTTTGGTTTGATAATTTTTGGCTTTTTTTTTTTTTCTCCTCTCTTGTTTTGTATAAAACAGCGTCTCGTGTGTAGCCTAGGCTGACACAAATTCACTGTATAGCCAAAAAGAAAGAATGACCTTGAAATTCTTGTTTTGAGACAGGGTTTCTCTATTGCTCTGGAGCCTGTCCTGGAACTCTCTCTGTAGATCATGCTGTGTCTTCCTGATTCCACATTACAGTTCTGGATCACCGGGCCTGGTTTATCTGGTGCTAGGGAAGGGACCAGGGTTTGGGGCATGCCAGGCAAGCACTCTGACAACTGAGCCACATCCCTGGCCCTTTTATTATTTAACATTTTTCTGGTTTTGAAACAGAATCTGACGAAGCCACCTAACCTGGCTTTGAGCTTTCCCTGTAGGCCAGGCAGGACTTGAACTTCCGCAGCCCCTCTTGCCCCAGCCTTGGAGTGGCACATCGCAGGTGTGCACCACCAGGGTTATCAACTTCCTTTTATGGTATTATAATTTATTTTTCGACACAAGTTTTCATGTAGCCTAAAACTCACTGTGTAGCTGAGATGAGTTTGAATTCATGATCCTCCTGCCTCTGCTTCCTGAGTGTTTGGATTCTAGACGTGTGCCACCATTCCCTATTTATACAGTGCTGAAGCTCACTGGGGCTTTGTGCACGCTGGGGAAGCGCCCACCAGCTAACCTTCATCCCAGCCAAAAGAATAGTGCTGCTTTCAAGTAATGCTTTGGGTTTTAAACATTTAACAAAAAAAAAAAAAAAAAAAGCTAAGAACATTTTTTTCATCCTGTTTTCTCTTAGTTTTAAATTTGGGCTGCTATAAATCCATCTGGGTTTCTTATGACAGGACCCTCTGTGTGAGACACTGGAAATCTGTGCATTTAAAAAAAAAAAAAATGTCTTGGTTCTGGGCAGTGGTGGCACGGACCTTTAATCCCAACATACAGGAGGCAGAGGTAGGTAGATCTCTGAGTTCAAGGCCAGCCTAGTCTACAGAGTGAGTTCGGGATAGCCAGGGCTACAGAGAGAACCCCTATTTCGGGGGGCTTGGGGTTGGAGGGTGTCTTGCTTTTTGTAGGAAAAAAGTTGATAAAGTTCTGCGTTACAACTTGTGACAACCCCCTCTGCCTTCCCCTCCGCTGTTGCAGATCGGCCCGGGCTTTTGGATCTCAAAGGCAAGGCCAAGTGGGATTCCTGGAACAAGCTTAAAGGTAACTTGTTCTGACGAACTCCCCTCCCTTGTGAGGCTGGGAACTGAAGACTCCCCGCTCTGGAGTGGAGAGGACAAAGATCAGGAGGCTCACATTGGAAGCCAGCCCAGCCAGGCCTAGCATGAGGGAAACTAGGCCACGTCCTTTCCCTCCCAATGTTGCCCGTGTCTTTTCTAAGAGCTCTGTCCCTGGGCAGAAGTAGGGACAATGTTGCCGTGGTCTTTGGGTGTCTTCAGAGTAAAGAGAGTTCTCTCGTCCAAACCTCTAACTCCCCAACAAGGCCAGGCGGTGACCCCTTAGCCGAGTGGCCATTCCCCAGTTCCCTTTCAGCCAGAAGGGCCCATGAAACAGGAGGATGAGGTAATGCATGGCCAGTGAATGGGACTATTATTTGCTAAGCACAGGCATCCAAGAAGTGTCCAGGCTCCACTAAATCACGTGTTCCCGTGGCAGCAAGCCCTGAAAGCTGGCACCGAAGCTGTTGGCAGCCTCCGTACCCTCGCCAGCCAGTTGCTGAATAAGCCTCTGTCCCCACGAGGGGAAAGGCATGAACTCAGGAAGGGCCCGGCACACTCAAATGCACTGCCAGGGAGCCATGTGGGTCTGTCTGTCCGTCTTCCACAGCATTCTCAGGCCCCAGATACCCTAATGCTTCACAACAAGCCTCCTCAGTGCCCAGGTCTTCTCGTTACCCCGGGGGAATCTAGGAAAGCCAGTATGGCTGCCCCACAGAGGGTATCCATTGTCCCTTGTGCCGTGACCAGGAGACAAAGGTTCGCCTCATTCCTTTCCAAGAGCCAGCTGCTTTTCTCCGGCCTTCACCTGTCTCACAGCGGGGTAGAGGGCGGCTGACTTTTTCACAGCCAACAGCAAAGCTCTGGGAGATAGGAATCTAAAATAGATAGTCCACAAGGCTAAAGCCAAACACGAAATCACTGCAGGAACCCTTCCTTGCCTGTCTAGAAGGCTGAGGTCCATGCTGACCCACATTCACGGGTGACCCCGTCATGCAAGAACTTGAACCTCGCCGAGGCAGAGTTCATGCCCTGTATGTAATGCAGTGAGCCCAGTCCTCAGGCCACCTCTGAGATGTTAAGAGAGCTGTGCTGTATGTGTAAGAAACAGCCTCCAAATAGTCAGCTGGGACCACAGCAAGTATGTCCAGCCTGTGACCCAACACGTGTGTAAGGTCCTAGCGTCATGTCATATGTTAAAAGCTAGGGATTGCTCAGTCAGCAAGTTGCCTGCCATGCAAGCAGAAGGAGCCGAGTTCAGATTCCCAGTACCTGTATAAATAAGCCAGACACCGCGATATGCATCTGTAACCCTAATGCTGGGAAGGGCGGAGACAGGCAGATCGATCCACAAGCTCCAGGTCCCGGGAGTAACCTTGTCTCCTGAAATGAAGTGGAGGCTCTGGTGGGATGCCACCAAGCCTGACAAACTTGAGTTTGATTCCCAGAGCTGACACGATAAAAATCCGTTCCTGCGAGTCACCCTCTAACCTCTACCCTTGCTGTAGTAGGATACACCCTTCCCCGTCTTAATTACTGTTCTGTTGCTGTAAAGAGACACCACGACCAAGGCGACTTTGCTTGCTTACAACTTTAGAGGGTTGGTGCTTGACCACCATGGCAGGAAGCAGACAGACATGATGGTGGGGACAGCAGTCAAGAGCTGATGGGAGATGTCATTCTGTAAATGTGTTTCTCTTATTGATTAATGAATAAAGCCCTGTTGGCCAGTGGGAAAGCAAGATAGGCGGGACTGGGAGGCAAGGAGGACCCTGGGAAATGTAGTAGAGAGGAGTTAAAATGGAGGCTGCAAGAGGAGTAAGAGGCCTGGACCTCTCCAGTAAGGTGAGACCACATGGAAACACTTAGATGGATAGAAATGGGTTAATATTTCAGACAGAGCAGCTGATAAGAAACACTAGTAACTGGCCAACAGCTTTATATCTAATACAGGATCTCTGTGTGTTATTTGGGGCTGAGGGACCAGGATGGTGGGAAAACTGCTCATAACAGAGAGCTTTACATCCTGCTCCACAGGCAGTAGAGAGGGAGACTGGGCCGGGCATGGGCTTTTGAAACCTTAAAACCCGCTCCCAGTGACACAGCTCCTCCAATAACACCACACCTCCTAATCCTTCTCAAATACTGCCACTAACTTGGGGACCAAGCTTTCAGCTACATGAGCCTGTGGGAGCTTTTCTCATAAAGCCACCACAGCCCCCCCTGCAAAATAAAGAACTTTTTTTAAGTACCTCAGATGGGACTGGACAGTGGTTAATTGATCACGAGCACATGTTGCTCTTACAGAGGGCTTGGATTTGGTTCCCAGGAACCTACAGCAAGTGGCTCACAACTGCCTGAAACTCCAGGTCCAAGAGATCTGACAGCCTCAAGTCTCACTTCTTCAGACAGCTGCATGCATTTGGTTCACATGCGTATATTCAGGCATGTATGCATACTAATTAATAAGTAAGCAATAAAAGCCTTTTTTTCTTTTTTAAGCAAATAGAGAACAATGGAGAAGACACTTGACGTGGAACCCTGACCTCCACGTTGCACACATATGCACATTTGCTGGCAAGCACGCAGACACATATGTACACATCACATCCATGGTACAAATACACGTGTACAAGTTTACAAAAGCAGAAGCAGACACCTCACTCCCCAGGTGGGTGCCCTAATGTGTGCTCCCCCCCATTCCTCCCAGGAACTTCCAAGGAAAGTGCCATGAAAGCCTATGTGGAGAAAGTGGAAGAGCTCAAGAAGAAATACGGAATGTAAACGACCGGATTTGGTGGCCAGCCACATGTGTGTGACCCGTGAGGACATAACACCTTGTTTTTTTTTCTAATGTAGATGCTATGGCTCTGATAAATTAGGGCCAGAATTAATCGCTGATCCTCCACCCCCTGTGTAGTTTTTACCTGAAAATCGATTAAAAGTACATTTGTTACTTCATGTCTTTACTTGTCTGGGCTCTTTTATGTTTTTCTTGTTTTATCTCCCATTTAAGTGTATTTGTTTTATGTGTATACAATGGGTGTGAATGCAACAGCCCATGTGTGAAAGTCAGGAAAACTTGCCAGAGTTGGTTGTGTCCTCCTACCACATAGGTCCCAGGGATCAAACTCAGCTTCTCAGGTGTTTCTACCACCGAGCCATCTCGGCAGCCCATTATCCAGGTCCCTGAAATGACTTGCCTCGCTCCAGTCTCTCATCCCATGCGCTTTGGAGCTGGGGTGTAGCTCAGTTTGGTAGAGCACTGCCTAGCATGCACAAACCCCTGGGTTCAGCTCCCCAACCCTGCACAAAGAAACTAGGCGTGGTTGTGAACACCTGTGATCGCAACACTTAGGAGGTAGAGTCAGGCATCTCACAAGTTCAAGGCCATCTCTTGGTGACAGCAAATTTGAGACCAGCCTGGGCTCCATGAGACCCTAGATCATAAAAACCAAATAAAAGTAAAAATAAGTGAGAATGTATGTTTTAAGGGCTTCGGCCCTCTTTTTAGCTGCATGGAAGGTGAGGGGCGGTCACACGTGTGTACAGCCATGGTGACGGACGGGCTGGAGAAGTGTTTCTTCCTCCAGCTCCCAGCCCCCTCGGATCAGGTGAGCTGCCTGGGACCTGAGCCTACAGATGTTCTAAGAGCCCCATGTCGGGCCGCCCTCGGGTTCTAAGGAGGCAGCATTGACGGTGTTTGATCGGGTCAGCCTCTCCCTGGATCCAGAGCGACTGAGCAAGAGTGGGAGCGCCTTGGGAACAGTATGCACCTGTGCTGAGGTCTCCCATGGGTGCAGGAAGGCCACTCACGAGCCTAGGGCAGGTGAGAAGGGAGAGCCGGGCTTGGAGAGACTACGGAAAAGCAAGGCTGAACTTTCACAGAAGGGTTGCTGTCCAAAAGCAGAAAAGCGCAGCCAAAGGCCTGCTGCAGGTGGGCCCCTTCTGCAGCCCTGAACACGGGGTACTGGGGTGTTTTTCCCAGTGAAGGCATTGAGACCGAAAGAAACTAAGAATACTCCAAGTGCAGGCAGTTCTCTCTTCATTTTCCTCTTCCAAAGCCCAGATCCATAGCCACAGTTCAGCCTCTCTCCCAGAAGAATAGTAAGGAAGGCCTGAGAATAATAGCTCCTGTCAGCTCCCTCCACTGATACATAAATGGAGAATCAGCTCTTAAGTGCAGACCATTGCCCTGGTTCCAAAGCCAAAGCCTGCAGAGAGGCAGGGAGGAGGCTACTAGCATCCTTGGTGTTTGGGTGTGGTACCCTCTGTGCCACAGGACAGGAGAGAGCAGGCTTAAATGTGTGTGATTCTGAACTAGGCTGTGGGAGCTCAGAGATGATGCCTGAAGATGCCATTTGAGGGCTGAGCAGTTGGTGTCCATAGGACCCGAGTTTAGTCCTCAGAACTCATAAAAGCTGTGTGTGATGGCATGCACTTGTAATCCCAGCACCAGAGAGACAGAAGCAGGCAGATCCCTAAGGCTCTGGGAAACCAGCCCAGCCTACCTGGCGATTAGGCCAGTAAGAGCCTGTCTTTTAAACAAGATGGACAAGAAAGGTGGCTCAGACACTAAGAATACTTGCTGGGGCTGCAGAGGACCCAGGATGGCTCGCAACTGCCTGTAACTCCAGTTCCAGGGTTTCCAACGCTATTCTGGGTTCCATGGGCACGAGACATGTATGTGTTAGACAGACTCATACATATAAAAATAAATGCTTTTAAAAGGTAGACTGCCTAAGCAATGATACTCAAAGTTGTTCTCTGACCTAAACACACATGCACGCGCACAAACACACAGACACACACCCCTGAGTGGGAAGGAGATTACTTCAACATAGATAGCAAGAGGCCAGGATCACAAGTCTACGCATGCACCCAGAGGATGTGACTTCCTAAGTGGCAGGGTCATTCATGAGGACGTGTGTTTTTTCTGGTTGTTAATGGAATACCGTGTTTGCGGCAGGGCACACACTGCCTTATTCTGCCCTTCCTAGCTCCGTTCCACTAAGGCTGACAAGGCCACTCCTCAATCATCTGCTTGCTCTGTTATCGCCCCCACAGTAAACAGGCCTGAAACCGTGACAGAGAGGGGGCAAACCAAAAGTGAGGTGTGGACTGATGTACATCTAGAGTCCCATTCCCTCAGCGACGGGAGGATCACACGGTAGAGACCACCCGGGGCAGGACCCTGGAGAAGGCACAGAGGCCCTTGAACTCACAGAGACGCACTAGGGATCCAGGACTGTTAAAACACAGTTGTTTCTCCAAAGGGAGATACATCACCTGTTTTCTGCCCATGAGGCTGGGAGCTGAGGCGGTTAATAGCCTGGTGGTCTCTGTGCTGTCTGTATGGCCAGGATCCCCAGACCGTTACCTTGAGTCTGTTTATCTCAGCCCTTAGGAACATTGTTAACCTTGAGCCTGCTTCCTTGCTTAATCTCTATGGAAGACGGCACTTGGATTTTATAAGGGGTGGGATATAATCATGCCTTAAACTTTGTGGTGCACTTAGGATTAAGTTAATTTTCACCAGGAAACTTTTTTTTTTTTTTCAAATTGTCCAGTGCTTTAAATATGCCTAAACTAAACACACTGGTTTTAGACTCTTGGAGTTTGAACCAACATCAGCTACTGAGTCGTGTTGAACCAGACTTCTGGCCTCTCTCGGATTGACACTGTTTGCCATGGTGTTTGGAGGCCCCTCCCCAACAGGGCACCATCCCAAAAAGTCAACAACGAAATACACTGAGGGCAAACCACAATAGCAAAGGGTATGCCTAACATGGGAAGAGGGAGAGACAGACAGAGAAAATTACGGGGAACAGAGAAATTAATTTAAGGGGGAACGCCCTTAACCGAAGTGCAAGATGTCCCTCTCCATTCAGGCTTGGCTCAAGGAGTTGACGGCTTCCGACAAGGAGCCGTCACCATCAAGACTCCTTTATTAGGACCTTGTCTTCCACCAGCTTTCAACTAGCATCCTCCCAATCTACAGTGGTGGGAATCCAGGAGGCCTTAGGCCTGGGGCTCACGGCCATCAGCTGGTAAGTGGCATGTGTGGATAAGGTGCACTGGGCAGCTTGTGAGGCAGCCGGGGCTGCAGGCAGCTGCCCTCATCTTTCCCGGTGAGGAAGTCTTCAGGCCTGACACTATAGTGATGTGGCTCCATGACTGCCTTCTGACAGTGCTGCTCCGGGGATGGGAAGGAACCATCCTGTGGAAATGAAAAATCAGTGTCCCCAGGCCTTTGGGACCACCGTTTCCGTGGCCCTTGTTTACTGAGGATCTGGTAGGGTTGTCTATCATTCACAGTCTTCATTTTGGTTCTCGCATCCTTGGGTGTGGGGAGTGCACCCCGTTATAGTGAACTTGTTCTGGAGGAACGCACCCCAAAATGCTGTAGACATGCCTGTGGCTACCAAGTACCAAACTGTGTACACACTATTTTTCCTTTATATGCGCATCTGGCTTCATGTATGGAGTATACACATCAAAAGACAGTAACTAATGAAATAGCAAAGTGCAATCATACACTAGTTAACCTAAAAAGTATGAGTAGCTTACTTGTGGAGTTTTGCACCCCCAGCCTACCCGGTGGTGGGCAGGGTAGGGGTGGGGTTGCCCCCCTCTATCTCTATCTTGTATTTTTGAGACAGGGTCTCTCAGTGAATTGGAATTTACCTTTCTCCACTAAACTAGCTGGTCAGCACCAAGTCCCCAGGATCCACCTGTCTGCACTTCCGAGCCCTGCCACACGGGGGCTTCTTACGTGAGGTCTCATGCTGGCTCAGCAAACATTTTACTCACTGAGCCTTCGCTTTAAAAAAAAAAAAGTTTGGAAACCTTGGCTTATTTATTGTGTGTGCATTCAGGCAAGTGGTACACTTGGGCCACACGTGGGAGGCAGAAGAAACCCTTGTGCCCATCACCACCTCTCACTTTGCTTGGGACACTGTCTCTTTTCTTCCTCTTCTGTCTGCCAGACTAGGTGGCCCTCGGGCTTCTGGGGATCCTCTGCCTCCGTGAGAGTGCTGCGATCACAGACCTGCTACCCAGGCTTTTGTGTCATTCTAGGGTCAGACTCTCGTCCTCACACCTGCACAGTATGCGTTTTTACCTTCCTCCTCCACATCTCTCCACCCCCTGCGTCTTCCCTTCAGTCATGTCCCCTCTCGTGACCATCAGCCACACCTCAGAGCTGTGTCTCCACTGATTGTCCGAGGACAAGAAGGATAACTTCTTGTGCTCCCAGGAGCTGAAATTCCTAGAATCCTTTCTTGAGAACAAACTTGCAAAAGCAGTTCCGTGAGTTCCATAGAGGGGGCCCAGGTGAGCCAGCTTTTCACACTTGCTTTTTAAGGTGATTCCCAGGCTGAGCAAGTGTGTCAGCCATCGCCTTCCCTCCCTCGTCTCCCCCCCCCCCCCGACACCCCACTACACATACTAGAGAACAGTCCTGCTGGTATTTAACTGGCATTCTCAGGTGTCAGCAATAGCTTCCCCTCAGGGGTTCTGGGCTTCTGGAGTAACACAGATCCTGGCCTGGCGCCCGAGTGCCGTGCCTCACCTTGGCAGAACTCCAGAACAAGCAAGTGTGGGTTGATCAAAGATGTCCTCCCTACACCGAAGTGGTTCCAAGATCCAGAAGTCTGGAGATAAGCATCTCCAAGGGACATGGACGTGTCACTGGACTCCAAGTCAGGGGTCTTCAGTTCAGCAGCCATCCAAGTCAATGAGATATGGGGCCAATCATGTCGCCTCAGGGAGCCTTGGGTTCTTCAACAAGATGGAGTTGAGAGGGCCGGGAGGTGTGGAAAGCTCAGTAGTTATGCACTTGCTATGCAAGCAAGAGAACCTGAGTTCAACTCCCCGGAACCCACAGAAAGCCAGGGCAGTCACACACTTCCTCAATCGCAGTGATCAAACAGAGAGCAGAGTCAGGAGGATCCTCGGGAGCTCTCCC